CCCGCCTCAAGGACGAGAGCTCCCTGCGCAAACCCTTCCCCGCCAAGCCCAAGGCTGAGCCCAAGCCTCGCATCGACCCCCCGCCCCTCATCACTGCTGTGGCCCACCCAGGCGCCAAGTCCGTGCCCCCCAAGCCGCCGGCGAGCAGGACCTTCCCGCTCCCGTCCTCCCTGCGCCGCTCGCCCATCAGCCACGAGGGCTCCATCTCCTCCTCCGCCATGTCACCCAGCTTCTCCCCCTCGCTGTCCCCGCTGGCTGCCCGCTCCCCTGTCGTCTCGCCCTTCGGCATCTCGCAGGGTCCCTCCGCCTCTGCCATCAGTACCGAGCACTCGCTGGAGCCCCCTGAGGAGGCTGAGCTCAGGATTTAGTCCCTGCAGCCTCTGGCCACAGGGCCAGGAGCAGGGCTGAGCCTGAGGCTGCCTGCACAGTCCTGTGTCCCGGCACCTTGCCTGGCCGGGACCCCTGGCCCGCAGGATCCTGCTTATGCCAGGGCTGCCGGTCCCTTTCGCTCCCTGTGGGCTGGCGGGTTCGACGCCACTTTGGATGCCCCGTGGACTGCGGCTCCTGGTGCTGTCCCGGATGCTGGGCAGCGGGCAACTTTGCTTCATGGTACTCCACTCTTTCTGGCCCGGCGCAGCCTGTGGCAGCCGGGGGGCAGCAGGAGGCTGGGCCGTCCCTGCTGAGCCAGGACCTGACCCTGTCCCAGTGCCTGTCCCTGCGCAGGAACGCGGTGCCCTGCCTCTGCCCTGCTGCCTGCAGGGCTGTGAAGGGCTGATTCTGCTTCCTGAGATGGGGCAGTGTCTGCTCCAGTGCCAGTGGGGATGCACTGGCAATGCATGGAAGGCCTTTCCACTTCCCATCACCATGTGGGCTCTATTAGGAATCTCTCCCCAGGCTGCTGGGGAACCCCATCCCCAGCACTAGGTTTGGAGGGCCAGGGGTGCAGCAGCCCCTTTCCAGAAGCCATTCCTGTCAGGTGCCATCCGACCACTGGCTGGCTGGGAGTGTTGGGGCGACAACAAAACTCGGACAGGCTGGGCACATTGGGGTGATGCTCCCCAGGCGCACGGGCAGGTTGGGAGCATCCTGGCGATGCAGTCTGGGTGCATGGGCGGGCTGGGGACGTCACCCAGGTGCACGGGCAGACTGGGGCATCGAGGCAATGCCAGCTTGGTGCAGAGGCTGACTAGGGGTATCGAGGCGATGCTGCCTAGGGGGCATTGGGGCATGCCACCCACACAGGCTGGGGATGCCAGTGTGATGCAGTGCAGCAGGGCCAAGGAGCCGCATGAGATGTTCTGGCTCCCGCAAGGCAGCAAGGCTCACCAGCAGCCAGAACCCATGCACTGCCACCCCTCTGCAGATCTGGGTGGCTGTCCCGCCACAGGGCTAGGGACAGCTGGGTGTCCAGCAGTCACAGCAGCGGACAGCAGGGACAGGCCTCCCCCATGGCCTTGTGGTGCCATGCGCATAGGGACAGGCTGGGACACGGTGCGCAGATGCCACCCAGGTTGTGTGCACTGCCTCTTCCTGCCACGCCGCGAGCACGGGGGGAGCCGCGCTCCCCTGGGGCTGGTCCCCGTCCCCAAGGCAGCGCTGCTTGTGCAGGAGCCTCGCACCAGCGTTACATGACCACAGGCGCCAGCAGTGTGTGGGGCAATGCGCTGTGGCAGTGTCTGAGGCAATGCGTGGTGGCAAGGCACAGCCGTGCAGCACTGGCCCATGCCCCCTGAGCAGGGCCCCGGGAGCCTGGGGTGCACGTGAAGCCGCGGTGCGGGGCACTGAGGCAGCACCCGTGCAGTGCTGGGAGGCACCTGGCTGTCTGAGAGGGGGGTTGGGGGCTGTTCAAGGGGTTTGGGAATCTCCTTCATATCACAACCTTTTTTCCCCTTTTTCCTTCCCAGTTTCAGCTGAAACCTGTCCGCACCGTGGCAGCAACCCAGCCTAGATGCTTTATCACCGTGGCCAAAACCCACTGCTTGTGCCCCTTCCTCTGGTATTTCCAGCTCAGAGCCACCTGCCACTGCTGCCCCAGCACAACTAGCACTTCAGCCCCAAACCTCCCACATGCACAGCCCTGTCCCCAGTACAGCGCGGCACATGGGCACCCCCTCACCACAATCATCCCCTCACTCAACTGTCCCCTCACCCCAGGTACATTGCTGTGCCTTTGCCCTGCAGCGTTGGTGGCCACAGGAGCCTGCAGGGCACAGGGCAGCACCACGGGACTGGGGGCTGCGGGAGCCATGGGTGCACCGTGGGCCCCATCTGCACAGCTGTGGCCTGTGGGGACCAGAGGGCTGGGTGCACTGAGCTGGCCATGGAGACACTGAGCCGGGTCCACGGCTCTGTCCTGTGGCCAGGCAAGCTCAGGGGTGCCATGAGCCCCACGGGAGGGTCAGGCACGAGCAGCCCAGCCTGGCTGGGAGTCAAGCCCCCAGTTATTTATTTTTACACGTTGTACTACGACTCCTGTTTTCTACTTTGTACCTTTTGTATCGTGTCTTGCTGAGCTGCATGTATTGGGCGCTGCTCGTAGGCCTGCATGCCAGGCCACTCAGCACGGCCTGGACCCAAGTGCCAACTTCTCAAAGAAATGCCTTAATAAACCACACTTGTTTGTATATAGACGAGCATGCTGCGCGCCCTGTGCTAAGTCCATGCAACTATCAGGGCTCCGCACGCATCCTGCAGTGTCCCACACCCCATGGGGGGCTCTGGAGACCAGAAGGATGACACCATTCTCCCCAGGGTGGCCCGAGCCCAGCACTCCTGGGTAGAGCCCAGACTCGCCTTGTCCACAGGAGCCACAGCAGAAGCCTGGGGTGTGCAGGGCACTGAACCCAGAGGTCCTGCTCTGTCTGTGACCCCTATCAGGCTCCCACTCCGAGCCCGGTTTGCAGAACACCCAGCAGCCCAGCAGCAGATGCTCGTTAGAGTAATTAGCTCTGTCAGAGCTCCTTAATCTTTGCCGGCCAGACAGATCTAGCAAATAATCTCCCACAAATCTCAGCCCACTCAGAAGCCCTTGCTCTAAGCTGCATCCAGCTGGGCAGCCGGGTGGGCCGCGCTGCCCCGG